AATTTGTTGACCAATGTAATCATAATAAATATCGAACAAGTAAGGAAGGTGCGGAATGCATATTTTTTTAAGTTTATTTTATTTAGGGGCGAATCCCCTAAACGACGGGGGTTCAGAGGCAGCCGCCCCCGGTGGCGGGGTCCAAGGGGCGGCAACCTCTGGGAAAATTCGGGTAATATTGATTTGTGAAAAATGCTATAAAAATCCGAATTTAAAATTTTAAATCTGGTTTTGATGACCACTTCAGAGTTAAAATTCAGACTTACAACTCTAAATTTTCCCAGAGTTACGTTGTAAGTCTAAAGGCTACTTCAGAGTTAAATTCAGACTTATAACTCTGATTTTCCCAGACTTTCATACTTGTATGTCTTACAAGTCTGGAAGACAACTTTGAATTTTAACTGAAGAAAAGGAGTTCAGACTTGTCCTCAGACTTTTATACTGGTATGCCTTATAAGTTTGGCAGACAACTCTGAATTTTAACTGAGAAAAAGGAGTTCAGACTTGTCATCAGGCCTACAAAGAAAACTCTGAACTTTAACTCTAAAACACAAGAATTCAGAGTTTTCCATCTCCTGCTGCTTCAGTGAATAACGGTTTTCTTCTAAACATGGGGTCTCCTGGTGGTAAGGTTTTTGCTGAAGAAGTCTGGAAAAGTTTGTAGATATCAGACTTATAAATCTGAGAAATTGAAATACAGGCTTTTGCTTATTTAAGTCTTTGAAAAGAAATCCCTTTTCATAAACAAATCAGTTATGTTTACAAGGACAAATGTCAATTAAATAGGCACATTTGAACCAGTAATATACATTGTGTCTACATACATGTTTAGGCATAAAATCTTTATAACCGTCACACAATAACACGACACGTGGCAGCCAAGTTACTTATTTATTAGATATATAAAAATATATTATATTAAATTAAAACTATGAGTTATAAAATAGATAAAGGAAATCCACCAAACTTTTCCATTCTAAATAATTTAGTCCTTAAATTATTTTTTTATTAAAAAAATAATTAAATTTCTCATTTTAAATGATTAAGTCGATGAACTATTTTTTTTGATAAAAAACGATTAATCTTTTTTATTTTTGAAGTAAAAAACCATTAAACTTTATCTTTTCGAATAAACAACTATAAAATTCGAGTTTTAAAAACTTATTCGTTAACTTATACGAATGTACCTTATTTAAATAACGGTGAATAATTATTAACGGATTAAAACTGCTAAACTCCTAAAACTCTTAATATAGTATAATCTATACGATATTAATAAACATTTAAACCAAAGTCTTAAATACAAGTTTTAATGCATTGAATACAAGCTTTTAAAGCACAAAATAAAAAAATCTCTTAATTACAAGATTGTATGCATGATGTAGAACTATTAATACACTGATTTTTCATCACAACCAAAAATGGCGTCCTGACTCCCTTTTCTTCTACAATAGTCTCAAAATCTCTCATTTGGTATAAGCTTTATTTTCTCTTCTCCTTATAAAGCTTTTTTTTTTTTTTTTTTCTTCAACATTCATTTTTACACATAAATACCCATTAAAACACAATATACAAGTATTGTATGCATGTTTTGAATTTTTTAAAAGCTTTTGACCTTTTTTGTCTTCGTAAGAGACTAAAATTTCTGGTTGCTTTCACCTTTTTGGTCTAACTCTATCAATGCTCTGCCACCAATACCGTTTACCTTTCTCTTTTACATTTTGTTTGAATTTCAAAATTCAAATGGAAGAACTAGCTTGTCGTTATTTTATAGTCTCCTGGTGATTCTTGTCTCATTTCAATTTTGCTTACCGATGCATTGCATGGGTACACTGCTAGTTATATATTATGTTTATGTCTAAGTTTACAGATTTTTGTTGTTAAAATTATGATATTTTTCATGTTTAGAATGCTAGGATTGGCTAAAGTTGATGTAGAAATTAACAGGGTAGATTATGGTTTTCAATATGGTTAGATTGTTGATATATGTTTAACCACACATCAATTGTTCAATATAATGTCGAAAAGAGTATAATTGCATGATTTAAGCTTAAGTTGGCGACCACTGGACTTGTTTTACTGTTTATATGTTGAAGTATGTTTATAACATGTAAATGTAGCGAATCATGGAAGTTAGATCATAAAAGTTAGTCGGAATAAACTCATATTTGTAATTAGAAAGCTCTTACTGTATATGACAACTTTCATGAAGGGTCGAAAATCCAGTTATGATTGTAAGTGGCTCGAAACAGTGTGTTTTCGGGGCTGTTTGCATTATATTCAGGATTAATCTGTTGTTTAGTAAAATTCGTATAAAATAGATGGATAATTCAAATAAGGTGATTCCAAAACTAGTAGATTCATCATATATCATATTACAACTGTCATTTACATAGTATCTTTTGTATTAATCTCTAAATAGGTTGACAATGTTCTCGAAAATAAGGGATAAAAGCTGTTAAAAGCCGAGAACGGAAATTGTATAAAGCTAAATTTGTGTTTGAGTTCTTAATGCGCATCTTGTTGTCCCGTTTGAAGTTTAAGTTGTTTATAAACATGTAGGACCTAAATAATTTATGAGTAGAATTGATATATGATTTTACGTCGTTTAAGTAATAACCGATTTACGCATTCGGTAGGCATGCGACTAAGTCAAAATTTACCGTGAATACCGTTTGATCGTGCTTTATTTTTCTATTCCACCTAAGGTACATATTTCACTTCTTTTAACTCTTAGGCAACTATTTGTTGTAGTTGACCCTCATAAAGATGGTTCACCACCTGTGATTAATCAACTGAATATGATCAACAAACGTGTAATTACACACATATATACATTGATTTTAGTTTATTGAATCTTTTGTTCGAACCTTTTGGCGTTTCATTAAAATATGTCTCGCATAGATTTGATTATGCAACTTGTGAACTACATTGAACTTGATTTTTATGAGCGTCATTCGAGTAAGTGACATATGTTTTAGTTTTCGTGTTTTTAGAACAACCCAATTAATGGGCATATTATTTGGGATGCCTTCTATGGCGGCTTTGTAGTCATGGCGTCCTGCAGGTGAACTCGGTTCACAGTGTTAGGCCCAACCGTGGGCTTACGTGAATACACCTTGTGGGCTATGTCGATTTTATTGGCTATAGGGCAGATAGATCGATCATAGGATTACCCACCATGTGACCATGGTTAAATTCACGGGGGACTCGGGGTGTGTGCCCGTACGGTGACAAATAGTTTGTGTGATTTGGCCACCCCAAGAACATTATAGGAATTGATGGATTTTGTTTAATTGAATTGTAAGTCTTTCGCTTTATTATCGATGTTACATATTATTATTTCAAGTTTATATTATAATCTGTTCACTAAGCCCCCGTGATCAGTCGTGTTCTTGTTTTCTGACACGGCAGGTTCCAAGTGATAGTAATAAGGACGAGAGTTGAGATCGAGCGTTTGACTTTTGGAGTTTGTAAACTCGTTTGTAGATGTATAACATTCCAAGCTTATAAATAGTTGCTAAAATGTAATATTCTGGTTTGTAAAGTATGTTTTAAAAGTTAATCTATGTTTGAGTTTATTAGTACCTCTGATAACACTTATTAATCATAATCTTTTTAAATAGAAGGATTATATAGAGATTACAATACTCAATAAATAATGTTAATAGTTTATATCTATTTCTATTATCATATTCTTTAGACGATGCTACATTTATCTTTCAACACTCCACCTTGTATCGAAGAAAATATAACAAAGGAAATAATATTACAGAACCAAATAAGAGTGTATGAAAAAAATTGTAAGATTTTATAACAAGGGGTATGAATGTAATTTTCCTCTATTTTATAAACCTACTTGGATATTGAGTATTTATTTGTAATAAATAAATTTATTCTATACATAATTTAATAACAATAATACATAATTTAATAACACTCATAATGTTATCCACGTCATCAATCCATGATCTCAAATAAATATGACTCTTGGATTCAACATGATCAATGGCTCACAATCAACCACACCATTTCACACGGATCATAAATTCATCCGCCAAAATTCTTCCTCCCCCCCCCCCCCAAATCTCAAAATTTCCACCTTTAAAAGATCAACCCACAATCGTTATTTCACAATTTTTCATTACATTCAAACCCATTTGATTCTTGCAAAGCTGTGTGAAAATGTCTGGCCGTGGAAAGGGTGGTAAGGGATTGGGAAAGGGAGGAGCAAAACGTCACCGGAAAGTTCTCCGGGATAACATTCAGGGGATCACAAAGCMGGCGATTCGGAGACTGGCGAGAAGAGGCGGAGTGAAGAGAATCAGTGGATTGATATATGAAGAAACTCGAGGTGTGCTGAAGATCTTCTTAGAAAACGTGATTCGTGATGCAGTGACTTACACGGAACATGCTCGCCGGAAAACGGTAACCGCCATGGATGTTGTATATGCTCTTAAGAGGCAGGGACGRACTCTGTATGGGTTTGGAGGCTAAGTTTTCCTATTCGATTATGGTACCAAATAGATCTGATCAATGCAAATGYTTACTCTGATTCTGATGTATTTGAATTCAATGAAATTTGAACTTTGTTGTATAATCTGATCTTGCATCTTTGATTCATCATCGTTTTGGGTTTGTTTTTTGTGGGTTACATCAGTATTTGTTTGTAATGTTTGGGAAGTAAATCAATTTACAGTTTTATATGATTCTTTAAAATGAGCAAGCATTCATGGATGTTTCCCTTCTTTGTAATTTCACTCTTACCAGGTAAGATTCTTGATCTTTACCATATTCATCCAGTAAAGTAAGGTAAAATGATTTGGTGTTCATTTACCCGAGTAAGCATTTGGTATACAACTAGTATATATATATATATAAGCTTGATGATTTGTCTATTAGACGCAAAATTCCAACAATGACAAACTCTATAAACATATCATTTATATTCGAGTCAGAGGAGTACTCCATTTATCTGATACTGATACTGATACAGATACAAAACTGAAAAAATCCAGTTTAGGAAGCAAATGGAAGGGTCGAGGTTCACACTTCGTCGTGAACACTTCTAGCCCCTCAAATGAAAAAAAATGTCAAAGTAGCTCATAACGATCTTTAAAAATTGTTATACAACCAAGAAAACCGAATCGAAAGTTATACATCAAGAGAGTTAACACGGTCGGTATTTGGTGCAACGTAGAGGTCCTGCATCGGCCGTAAGAGATGGTACTAGATACCCATTCGCAACCGGGAAAGCTTGTGCTCGTGTGTAACCAGGCGAACAACTTCCCCATCCCGATGGAATGAAATACGCCCCGTCAAGAAAAACATCTCTCGAAGATCTCCATTTCCAATTCTTCCAACCTTTATTAACTTCCCTCTTCGTAACCTACAAAAAGATTCGATACGAATCATCAAACTTCTATATATGTAAGAAGCTTCCGTTCTCGATAAGCGCTCTTTTAAGAAAGAGCGTAAAAAGGGTCTAAAGACCGAATACTAATCTTTCTAGATTTTACCTCTTTGGTTGTTGCGCTTTTTGCAGCCATATAGTAGTTCCCTTCACTTAATATCGTTGGATTTGCGCTTCCACCAACCGCATACATCTTCCATTCGTCGTACTTATTGTTCGCCACATGTGCATAACCGAGCCTTACCCTAGAAATTTTGATGTAAATTACGTACGTAAGATTATCGTTACAAACTTTTCCATTAGTTCTATGGTTATAAAATCAAAGATTTTTAAGTTCGTCACGTGGATTACTCTATACGCGTACCTTGGCATCCTTTGAACGAGACCCGGGCCAAAATGGTTGAAAACCACGGTAACTTTCATGATTTTGTCTTCAATATTTTTGTCATTGTGACCGAATAACATAACCTGCATCATTTTATACGTTAAAAAGAAGAGATTTGAAAACGTGACCTTTTTGATATTATCGTTTATGTGTAGTATAGTTTGTTTACCTTATCATGTTGAGAAAAGAAGTTATTTGAGATCGTGATGAAAGTCGAAGCATGAATAACATCAATGAGCCCGTCAGTGGCTCGAGCCAGGAAGCAATGGTCGATCCACACGTATGTCGACCGGAATATATCGATGGCATCGCCGTCGGACCCACCACGGTGACCCAAGTGGGCCATAGTGCTTCTCACAAGCCCTTGTTTCCCTGGCTTACAATCATGAATGCTAATACCATGGATGATCACATGGCTCACATCTTGTATAGTTATACATGGCCCATTAGCAATTTCCACTTTTGCCCCTCTCCCATCAATGGTCTTGAAGCTATTCATGATAAGCTCGTTTTTGAGATTGATGACCATATCTTTAGCAAATATAATCCACAAGGGTTTCGTTTGAATAACCCCATAACGAAGGGTACCTGGTTTAGGGTTTATGGGATCATCAGAAGGATTCGTAACCACATATATTGCACCATTTTTGCCTCCAATGGCACCTTTGCCAAAACCAATGGTACAATCGGCCAATGCACGACGATTAGAAGCCCAGTTCGAGGATCTCCGCCAGCATGCATCGATGGTATTCAAGATTTTCTTAGGGGTAGTAGGTGTAGGGGCATTATAGTAATTTGCATGAGAGACAGTGTTCAAGATTTTATTGGGTGTAGGGGTATTATAGTAATTTGCATGAGAGATGGAAGCATGAAAGCTTAGGAGGGTTAGGATGAAGAAGAGTGAGGCCATGGATCTTGTGGAATGAGAGTTTGGAAAAACTATGGAAAGTTGGTCAAAATATATAAGATTGGATAATTACATTTTGCACCCTTGTTATTGTATTTTCATCAATTTTTAATCCAAATCTTTCTTTTTTATTACAACTTAAAGTTTTAGGGGTCGTTTACCAAACACTATCACTTACTTACCGGGTAAGATTTTTGGTCCATCAAAACGACATTGTATGCAATAATTTATGCGGTAAGTGCTAACCATGGTAAGAGTCGTCGTCCTCACTTACTGGGTAAGACTCTTGGTTTTTGTCTCGTTCTTACTGCGTAAGATTCTTGATCCTTACCATATTCAATCCAGAAGGCAATATGACTTGGTAAACACTTACGCGAGTAAACATTTGGTAAACGGTCCCTTAATTTGAAAATCTTGATTTAAATCAAAACCATTTTGGGCAAAGTACATCATATTTCGGTTTAGTTTATATCTGGTGTGACAATTTTTTTTTCTCATTCGATTAATAGAGTTTCAAAATTTTCTATTCAGTACCCATTTTAGCAGGTAACCTGTCGATCACTGTAATATTTGATAACATGAATAATCGTTTACGAAAGGTTTATAACATGTTCATGAAGAAGTTACAGTAGACAATAAATTTATCATTCTGAATTTTACAATATCAACAGGTTATCGATCGAAGTAGATATAAACTACAAATACTCTAAGTTTACAAAACCTCTCAATTTTGATTCATTTTATTATTTTATTTTTGTTAAAAAATGGACTTATTGTGTCCAAAGTGTCAAGTAGATAAAAGTATGAGGTAGTAGTATGTAAATATGTGGTTAAGGAATGAAATCATGACAATGTGGTACACACGATTTTGACTTGTCATGTGGAGAGACGTGAGAGCACGAGCTTATAAAAGTTTGACTTTTTGATTGTTGACTTTAGGTTTTTTTTTTTTTTTTTGGAATAAACCCAATGTTTTTTTCTTTGATAAAGGTTCAAGTAAACCCAATTTTGGTCCATAGGGTCCCAACCTTTCCAATTAGTCCATAGGGACAAGGACCGGATTTGGGTTTGGTCCATTGTAGAGATGGTTAAATGGGCTTGACCTTGTTTGGCACATGCGGAGGAGTCGGTCTCGACCCGACCCGGAATAGATTGGGACCGTTTAGGGATTGCTGGTTAAGGATCGGTTATGGTTTTCGTCAAAAAACAATGCTAGATCCATCCTGGCCTGGCCCAGCCGGAGAACGGTTATAGGTTCGACCCGATTTAAAAAAAAAATGTATTTTTAAATGTATTTCTAACTTTATAAGTATATTTGATTGAAAATCAATTACAAAATTATAATATAACGTATTTTTTAAGTGTACTTTATTATCCAATTTACCTTCAATTCACTATATATAAGTCATGTGGTGTATATGGGAAAATACCAACTTACAAACGTTCACAATTTTCGGAAAAAAGGTATTTTTTAAATGTATTTAAGTGAGCCAATTACATATTTTCAAGTGTATTACAATAACACTTTTGTATTATTTAAAATTTTTTAATTTTTTTTACATAAAAAATCGAATTTTAATATTTTTTTTACATAAGACCGGTTTGGGCCCAACCCAGGACCAGTTCTCATAACCGGGGCTCATACACTTTAACTGAGTCTATTCGTATTTGGGTCGGGACAAGGACAAATAACGTCAGGAACGATTACGAAATCACTATTTTGGGATCGGGACCAATTTGGGCCTGCCCAGCCAGGACCCATTTTTGACCACCTCTAGTCCAATGAGACCATTTACCCTAATCCTAGGATATTTGTTGGGGAACGATTGATTCAAATTTGAAGAGACTGATTTAGGACTAGCTCGAGACCCATTTATGGCTATCCACACTTCCCATTTATCCATTCGATTTTGGGGTTTTTCGGTTCAACCGAATCTAGGTTTTGTGGTTATGTACCTTGGACACATTTCTAGATCATGTATTGGAAATCACTTTCCAAATATTGTACATCGTCTCTAATACCTTAGCTTCACATGAAATCAGTACGTAAATAACCTATAATCCAATAAATGGTAAAACGAAAAAAAAACCCATGGGTCATATCAGTTGTTGCGGTTTTTCATTCAACTCAAGGGTAATGCAGTTCGATCTCAACTAATAATGACCAAGAAACTAAAGCTAGTTTACAACAACCATGACATGTAATTATTTTGACTCGATACAATAATCTTATTTTCCAATAATAATACAAATTAATTATCTCACTAATGATTAAATACTGAAACATATAAAAGGATTAAAGGACTATTAATGAATAACATTTCAACTATTTGATATGTGATTTACTTGTTATATACTGACGAATGTAATTTAACTTTGTTTATGCGTAACTGCACATCCCGTGCATGCAGGAATCACCTCTCTTGCATACATAGTTGCATCCTCCACAATGGCGCTTGTTCACCATTGGGTTCACACACGATCCCTTGCAGCAAATCTCCATATGGTTGCATTTCTTCCCACAAAGACCGCAATTATGTTCATCAGTCATCACGTTAACACATTTCTTGTTGCAACAATCTGGTCCAGAGCTGCCTTTTGCACGACAACGTCTAGGGTTCTTGTTGCATTTCATTAAGCCCCTATGTTTCTGGGCAAGGAACCGACTGGTCCCTGTTCGTAGATCGGACAATGAATGATCATGTTTGATATCGGGTATGTTCTCTTGATCTGCTGTGGAAGAAAGAGCCATGGCTAAGCTCAAGAAAATGATGAAGGTAGTCAAGATTTTGGTTAGGGTGTTCATGGTGTGTTTAGGGCAATGGATGATGGGAATATGATAAGGAAAAGGGTATTTATAGATATAGAATATGGATGAGTTTTAGAAATGGGTTTGGTTTTTTGTTGAAAAATAAGTTAGGTTTTGAAATAAAACTTGTGATTGATTTGTATACGTATGTAATTGTGTAAATAGGATTAGAAAATAAAAGTAGATACGAATCCACTTACTAACGTTGCTTTTGATTTTGGATCGTATTTTTGTGTATATTAGATTTATGGTACATCAAGAATTGGTGGATCGAGATGTCGATGATATTATCTCGGGCAAAATGCACAAAATAGCAATCTACTTTCATAAATTTCTTTATTATAGCATTGTACTTTCAGTTTTTCTTATTACAACAATGTACTTTCAAACTATTTTTTATTAGGACATTGTACTTTAAAAAATTTACCAATTATAACATTGAGTAACCTTTTGATTTAAATTTACCCATTATACTAGGTTTCCATGTCATCTCATTGTCCACGTAGGCTGTCCACATGTACTATAGCGATGTGACTTTCTTACTACATCATTGTACTTTCAAAATTATTTTATTATAGCATCTACTAGTTCTTATTAAAYACTGTATTTTTAATTTTAATATTTAGATATTTTACATGTTATTTAATAAATGTATTAAATGAATTAAAAAAAATTCTAAATTATTCATTAATATACCAATATCAATAAAACTAGTAGAACACAACTTATCTCGCTAACATTTTTAAAAAATATGTGTTTTTGAAAAAAGGAAAATAAGAATTGTTTCTTTTTTACCAAAAAATGTTATTTTTAAAGAATATATTATATTTGTTCAAAAACTTTTTACTTGACGTATAAATATATTAAATTAATTAGACTTTTTTGAATTATTTATTAATATAACAATATTAAAAAATTATAGATAACAATTTATTTCGTTAATATTTTAAAGAGAACTTTAAAAGATGTGTATTTATTTGAACAACATAAAATAGTAAAAGTAACATTTTTTACAAACAAAATATATCTCGAAAACAATGTTTCATATTTATTTAATAAATATTTTACTCTGAGAATATTTAATTCTAGTGCAACTTAATAAGAAAAAGTAAAAAAAATTAAATGTTTTTTTAGATCATAACAATGAAAAATGAAAATCACTAATAATAATTTGAAATAATTTTTTATTTTAATTTTAGTTAAGTCATCAAAATGATGTGACATTCACATCATCTCATTAAAGTCACATAAGCAAAAAAGTCAAAGGGTTAACCGGTTTAAAAGGTAACAGGTTACCCATTGCTATTATGGGTAGATTTTTTAAGGTACAATGCCTTAATAAAAAATAATTTGAAAGTACATTGCTGTAATAAAGAAAAACAAAAGTAGAATGTTATAATAAGAAATTTTATAAAAGTAGGTTGCTATTTCATACATTTAACCCTATTATCTCTACGATGAAATTGCATAAAAAAATACTTTCATTTAATTCGTATTGTAAGAAACATATGTTCAAAAGACACATTAAATCTACAGTTTAAATATATATATATATATATATATATATATATATATATATATATTCTAGTATCCCAATGATAACTTAGCGTATGTGAACTTCACGTGTCTTTTTAAATATTTTTACAACCATAAACCCTTACATAAGAGATTATTTACATGTGAATCATAAATATTTCTAAAAGTCGAGAATAAATATATTACTTATCATGAATATCATGCATTTTCGTTATAAATAATTTCATTTTAAATAAATCTATCACGACATTCATCATGAATAAAATATCAATAATTGATTTCCATGTTCTCAAGATAATTATGATTATTGACTAAACCTGCTCCTTAGACCTCTAATAAACATTTTAAACTATGAATCCTTAAGTTTGTATTTAGACAATGTTTTTTCCTCATGTTTTTGTCAATTTTAAATCTATGAAAAGACGAAATTTAGAATACGTTACTGGTTTGTTTAAAATCATTAAAGTAGACTGTTTAAAATGAACGTAACTAAAATATTAAAATAATAATAATGTAAAAGGAAAGTTACCACAATTTATAGAAACTTTATTTATCCTCTAAAAAATATAACAAAAAGTAATTTAACAATTTACAAAAAGATCTACAAATAATATTTCATAACTGATTAATTCATCCAATTTTTACGATACATGCATAT